CTGCTGAAAGCACCTTAGTGCTTTGACAATACCGCCATGCGCCAAATAGTAACAGTTAATGAGCAAGGACACTGCAAACTAACCATACACAGTAACTTGGTCATAGAAACACTTAAAAAAAAGCCTAAAGTGAACCTTAAGCCACCTCCATATTCTGAGTTTACTTTTTTCTGTAAGAAAAAATGAATGGTAATGCATTCAGTTACAGGTCACTGTTATCCGTAGAGGACAAACTCCCTCTCCAGACTCACATGAAAAGTTCTGTACCTGGAACACCGGGCTCGCCTTTTTCTCCTTTTGCTCCTAGCTGTTTCGGATCAACTTTTCCAGGCGGACCTGGCAGGCCTGCTTCACCTTTGATGCCTTTCTGTCCTACTGGTCCAGGAGGCCCAGGTGGACCAGGTAGTCCATTATTACCTACAGTAGGTATAAACAACCAAAGGGAAAAACAATATAATCCTTAAGGCAGGCTAATATATTTGTAATGCTTTTTCTTACATGCTGAGGCCATGATTCATTCATGAAGTTGGAATTCACTAAATGATCAGTCAGTTTATGCAAGGTTCTCCACAGCATCTTAAGCCCTGGAACAAAGCTGAGTGAGCGGACTGTGGGGGGATGTCTGTATGCTGCAGTCTGTCAGCTCTGGCCAGCCCAGCTCAGAGGAAGGCGCTGTCTGTCTGACCCACATCCAGAGAGCTCACAGAGTCCCACCACACTGTGCCACTAGCACTGAGGAGTTGCAACAGGTACAGCAACTTTGGATTCACAGCCTCCTTGTTGTAGGGAGATGACTGGGTTTTTCTTTTACCAAACTCTTTCAAAATACATCTCCAACAAGGAGATGAAAAATGTAGATTGAATAGTTTCTCTATGATACCTATGAAGCTGATTCTGGATGACTCCATAACCCAAAGCTACCAATTTTCTTCTTACTACTGCTTAAAGCAGACTTTACAACAAACTTCAGAAATATTGCCCTACTTTAATGCCATCAATCCAAAGGTAGTGTTTTAAAAATAGTTAACATTTCATGATATCGATTAAAAAAAGAGTGACTGAATACTACGGCTTAAAACTGCAAAGCAATTCTGAACATCTGCAATGTCAGAAGAAGATAATCTAAGCAGATCCCAGTAATGAAGATCTAGATGTTAATGTTACAGAGCCTCTTTCCACAAAGGACATTGAAAACAGCATTCTGCATCCTCTTCAGGGGCAGATAAAACAAACATTACCTTTCAAGCCAGGCAGGCCACTTCTTCCAGGAGTTCCTGGAGGCCCTGGAGGACCAGGAGCTCCCATGACGCCCATCTCACCTTTGGCACCTAAATGCATTGAATCACCATTGTCATTCTGAACAAAAACTCAAAACATATCAGTACCTAACTTTTACTTCCCTGTATCTATTTGGTATTTATTAACCAGCACATGCATACAAAGCCTCTTTTAAGGGAATTACAAGCACTCAGTTCTTGTATAAATCTAAATCAGATAAAAAGATGCTTGAAAATTGTGCCAAATTATCCACAGTTAAGTCCTGGGAAGAAAATTTGCAGTGAACTGTTCTTTTTGGTAGAAAGCTTATTTATACCCCCAATAATTTTAGTTCCCTGGTTTGAAACATAAATACTTGTATGAAAGCAAACCTGGATTTATTGAAAGCCAAAAAGACAATTAGAACTACTATACTTCTACGCCGTCTAACTGAGGACAGAGATTCTCAAAAATCACTTTTGAGATTCCTATTTCAGAAGGGGAAACAGGCTGTCTTAACTGGATAGTCTAACACATAGATCAAGGAAATTAATATTTAAAATTATGTGTTGGATCCAATTGATAGCATTTGTAAATGTTTCCTTTAAACAAATTCTATTTCTAAATTGTAGTGGTAACTAGAAAAAAAGAATCACAAAATAAATTAGAAAAGTGACATAACAATGATAATCAAAGTCACATTTGAAAGTTAGGAAACAGAATATTGTGGGAAATATCTGGATCAAGTTACAAAGAAAAGGGGAGAGGTGATAAGGATTTTAATGCAACAAATATTGCTCTAATTTTTTTAAAAAGTATGAGATGTAATGCTTACATGTATCCAACTTTAAATGGATAGGATAAACACTGAAGCTCATTGAGCTGGCACGCCTGAGCATAAAGAGCATCCAGCTGTAACTACACTTTGGTCTTTGTCCACAGGTAAAAAAAGTGAACTTACCTGGAAATCCAGGTATTCCATCCCGGCCAGGTGGTCCAGGTGAACCCTGAGGCCCTGGGAGACCAGGGGGTCCTGGATAACCTGGGGTTCCTCGGTCACCTGGAGGACCAGGAACGTCGAAGCCTGGAGGACCCGGATCCCCTTTCTCTCCTGGAAGGCCCTGCAACCCTAGACAATGTTGTTAAGACACAATCTTTTAGCAAAAAGTAAGGCAAGGCTGAGATGTGTGTGTCTCTGGACATAGTACTGTAGGAATAGCTAAGTTTAATCTGCAGTCCATTCCTAGCACTGATGAAAACCCTGCAATTCTTCTAAAGCCATTTATTTTTTAATGGCTTCCACGTGTAAAAATGCCATATTTTCCTGAAAAGAACCATTATTAAAATTTTATCAAGTTGTAGCAAATGCAATTTAAAAAAAAAATCTCAAAAGGAAACAACAACTCTCTTCAACAATCCTTTAAGTCTGATTAATAAAACAAAAAGCCAAGATTGATTAGACTGGTTTGTATTGTAAAGTATTGAGATTCTTACAAGTATATTTCCATTAATGTTTTACTACATTCTAACATAACATCAGCTGAATATTTTTGAAGGATAGCGAAATTCTGCATTGCATTACATTTCCCTGAATGAAAAATATCAATTGTCAAAATACGCTTAAGATTGTTTAACACTAATGATACTGAGCTCGAGGCACTGCTGAAGCAAGCACACGGCTTGTTTCCCTCCAGTGCATTGTATCAGTGAAGATGCTCACTCTGGAAATGCAGCTAACAAAAAAGGATTATTTGTAAATTTGAAGCTAAGAAAAGGCTTTGGGTAAAGAAACCACAGTACCTGGGGAACCTGAGGTTCAAAAGCCAACGAGTTAGAGCTCATCGGGAAGTTGAGACAGGTAGCAGTAAGGAGTTGTAATAGTCGTTAAGTTAGGAAACAAAATAAAGCACATATGGATTAGAACAAAGAAAAAAATCTACCCTAAAGTTACTGAAAACAGATCTAAGTACAAAGAACACAACACTGATGCAGTTAAGAGAAACCAGACTGCAAGGAAACTTGGAGGTCTTTTTCAAAGTGCAGCCACCACCGTATGCAGAAACAAGAAATGCAGATATTTTCAAATACTGATGGTACATTTTAAAAATAAAATTATTTTCATTATCTCCTTGTCTAGTATTCTTCTCACAACTGGGGAAAATGAGCTTTTTCTGATCTGTTTCTTACATAAAACTGTCATGTTACATGCCGTACTGAGGTTCTAACACCACCATACCAAAACCTCATAAATAACTACAAGGCAGTATAACGCTGTAACTCTGTAATGGCAACCCCTGCTCTCAAATGCGGGAACAAGTTCAGGAGAGATGTCATGATGTGTTCTTTGCACACTAAAAAGGCAGATCAAGTTTTCTTGACTGCATAGGCTGTAGACTTCCATTTATTAAATAAGCATGCTCCTCTTTGGCAGTAGCTTATCACTGCATTAACAGCTTATCACTGCTTACTGGAACTGCTTACTGCAGAGAAAAAGCAGTTCTAGAGGGTGGACAGGGACTGCACATGCTCTGTGTTTAACGGGTCTCTATCAGCAAGTGGGGGAAAAAAAAGGAAAAATAATATATAACCCAGTAACAGCACAAACTCCACATCCAGAATGGTAAAGATACTTTTTCAAATAGAAGTTCATTCTAATTGAATTTCTGGTTCTCAAAAATGTAACTGTATCACAATTAGAACAATATAGACAACACACTAAGTTATAAAGTAATTTGTTACATATTCAAGAAAAGAATGTTGAGTTACTGCAAACTATTTGAAGAAATGGTGGTGCAGAGAAAGGAAATTCTGAACGGGGAAATCCTTTCAAGAATTTTCCAAATTACCTGAAAAACAGAGCCCCAGAAACTTTACCCTAATGTTGCATAAAGGAACAGAATCAAAACAGCTTAGTAAAACAAACAAGGGATGAGAGATCGGAATGTAAGGCATTCTGCACAAAGCAGAGAAATAGCAGAGCCAAGGGAAATAACAAGGACTTCTCAAGTGGGACCTTCAACCATGCACTAGATTTCAGAGCAACCATGCTGTTAGTAGCCACAATGATTAGTCAGTACAGACATGAAGAATGCAAATATAAGCATTTCAAATCCAGCAACTCTAGTAATAATTGTGCATTTGTCAAAATTGGTATTTTGCAGAATAAATCAGCAACCACATGAAATCAAATTCTGGCTAACACCAGATGAGATGTTACAGGAAGACAAAAGAACATGCATTGGATGAAACGTTCAAACCCATGCTAATACATCCTATCCCTACACCCCAAATACACCCACCCCTATGTTGCCTTCTGTTTCAGTTCAGCCTCAAGCACAACCATAGGTTCAGGACAGTATCACAGGTACAGTGAGCCAGGCAGAGGACCTGCCTGCTGTCTCAGGGAACGTTTGTGCACATTGTCCAGACCCCTTCTGTCCCTAGCTCTTAATTCTGGACGCACTCAAGGCTTGCTGGTGCAGTGACTCCACATTCCTTTCCCCACTGGGAAACTTGTGAAAAAATAAACATAACGTACACTTTATGCATTTAAAACTCAAACTGCATGGGTCTGCTTACGCAAGTGCTTCCCTACCTTCACATTAAGCACTTTGCTGAATCTCAGCTCCCAGTTCATAGGGATCTGAATATGATCAACCAATGTGTGACCCACAGTCTCGCAGCTGTCCATGAATTTTTCAGCATGCATTGCAAACAATGCCAATCCCAGTGCTGGCATACAAACACATTCAAAAAGTGTAGCTCACACACATGCAACGTCAACAGTCACACAGGCATGGCAAGAGCCAGATGGGTTTTGAAATGTGTCAGCAGCAGGCATGCTCAAGTCCACAGAGAATGTTCTCACTGTGGTGACCACCACACATTTGCAACATCAGGAGTTGGTGCACAGCAAGCCCATTCACTGAGTGATGGGGAAAAGGAATTTCCCTAAGCAAACTTTGTTAATAGAAGGACGTGCATGCATGCACACGGAGCCTTTGTACACAGAGATGGAACAAGATCATGTCTTCATCAGTCACCAGTCATTTCAGACAAAAGACAATCAAACTCCCCTCAAAGACATATTCCTAATTATCACTATCCTTAGATTCTACTTTGTCAATCTGCTTGAAACCTATCAGTACTCACAAAACTTGGTTTTACAGAAAAAAAGCATGTGAGGGAATTGGGAACCCCAGAACTCAGAGGTTTCTGAGTAAGAGAAATTCTAAAGCTCTTTTCCAGGTGTGCTTATGACAAGATGAATGTGTATGACCTCTTTTACTGACAGGCTTTTGTTAAAACAGTATCATGTCACTACTTGGAGAACATTCTACACTCTACAAAATAATGAACTACCAAGTTTGGAATACTCATGCTTTCTTCCTTTCCACATTAGCTGAGTTAAATTGTGTATCAACTTCCATTTGACAAAAAAAAAAAGTGCCTAGCTATGTCAGAGAGAACCTGAATTACCCCCTCGATTTTGCACTCACCATGCAAGTAGAGGGAGGACAAATAGCACTGTATAGGGGATTGAGTTTGTCTGCTTTTTTCCAAACCAGAAATTAATTTTCTAGATATTAATGTAAAAAAATAGTTTAAAAATACCTCTCACCCAGTGAATTGGGAATACAGTTTGGTAACCTAGAATACTGCTTTGTAATTTAAGAACCATCTTGCTATCTGAAAGCAATGTAATGCCAGCACAGTACAGGCAGATAAAGTCAGCTTTCCTCTTCTTCTGTATCCCCCAAACCTCTGCACTCATATTGCGCTCCCTTCTGTCTTGTCCTGAAGAATATCGTGAGAAACCCCTTTACAGAGATTTTGTCACTATCTGTACACAACACTTTCTAGAATTTCTGCCGAGGCTTCAAGCCTTCTCCAAAGAGGGCTTTTATACCCTTGAGGTCTAAGTTGTGCAAATGGCAGGGCTGAATGTAATTCCAATTCTGATTTCAGTAAAAAACATGATGTACCAAATCTTGCCCACTTGACTGGTGAGGCAGACAGTTAATAGACATGAAGTCTCTGTCTTTCCTTGCCTATCTGTTCAGTGGGACCTTCAGTGTCCTGTGTACCTGCTTGGTGTACGCCAGAAATAATCTAAGGGTACAATTCATGCAAATATTACCTGGGGGGCCAACAGGACCCGGAGGTCCTGGAGGTCCAGGTGGACCTTGTCCACCAATGCCAGGGATGCCTGGTGGGCCTGGGAGTCCTGGTGGTCCGCTTGGTCCAGGGTCACCTGAAAGAACAAAATAATTAAATAGTGAACTCCGTTCAGAGATACTTGCTTTCAGATGCAGAGTGCCTGCACATTGTACTCAAAATCTTGTCCTTGCATGCAAACACATATGGAACTGACACAGGAATAAACACACTTCAGAAGCTGTTTCTGAAAGCCAGAGATTTGTCCTCACTCTGTGTGGAATGCATGCAGTTTACATTTCTAAGCTACACAGAGACATGTTAATGCATCATAATCCACATCAGACTCAACAGACGCTCTCCAGCAAACCAGGCATGCTCTGTAGTTCACTCCAGACAAAGATTTAACAGCAGAAATTTTTGAATTGCTAACCCTCTGCGTGTTAAAGCACGGTGCATCTGAATGACAATTATTCTGCTGAAAAAGTTTTACCCCCACATTAACACAATTTGTCTTTAGAATACAGGCTTTGAGATACTGACCCACAGATTGGTATTTACTCCCTTGCTTGCTTGTCCTTTGAGAACACAAGTTTCCATTTACAAAGGTGTCTCTGATTTGGAAAAATGGACCCTAAAGTAATTGCTCTAAAGTCACCATGGTTTGTATTTAACTGTCATATGACTCCCTGCACATTAAATTTTTTAAAGTTCAACAGGGAACAGAAAAGGGGAGAATTCTCCATACCTTTGGGCCCTGGAGTTCCATCAAAACCGGCCCGTCCTGGGAGACCGGGGCTTCCTGGGAAGCCAGGATCACCTTTAGGTCCTTGAACTCCTTTTGTGCCTGGTGGTCCTGGAGGTCCAGGTGGTCCCGGAACTCCAAATCCACGATCTCCCTGTAACAAATTAACACATTTTAAAATGCTTTTCTAACTTTAGCCTCTGCTAAAAATGCAAAGAAAAAATACCCACCATCTTAGAGCTCAATTTCTTTTTTTCCTACCCCCACTCAAACCTCAGGTACAGAATGTGACTTCCCTACCATCAAAAGCTGACAACAAGAGGTGAAATCCTCCCCACCAATGCAGAAGGAACAGCTAAGAAAGTGAAGCTTTACATTAAATAAGCAAACACTGACCTTCTGTCCTGGGAAACCAGGTGGTCCAGGAGGTCCATCTAGACCAGGCCGACCTGGAGTTCCTGGAGCTCCAGGAGGGCCTGGAGTCCCTGGGAAACCTACACATGACACGGAGGTTAGAGCAGCAGAGGAGAGGACACCAAAGAGCATTAGAACAACTCTTCCAGAAATGCTTAGAGCCCATGAAAAGTAATGTCTGAAAAGAGGTTCTGTGCTAGCTCAAGCATACTTGAGGGTTAAGTGTTTGGCTGAGACAACTTTTGAGTATACTGCCTTTGCCACAGAGAATCTCTTGGACTCCTCTCAGAGGAGGGCATTCCCCATACTGTGGGAACATTACAAACATTAACATCTTGAGGTAGCATTCGGAGACCATTTATTGATTAAAGCTTAAACATTCCACATTTCCCACAGTTTTACCCATGTGCTTTTGTGTCCTTCATTTACTGGAAAATGTAAGCTACCATGAAGGAACAATACAGTGAACAGAGGAATAACAGCTCAGTAGGTTTTTTTTTTCCTGATACTTCTGAAACTATTACACAGATGTAAAAATGCAAGACAGACCTTTTTTAAAGGATTCTAGAGACAGAAATCAACTTACTAGGAAAAAGCAAAGAGACCCAACCCTCTATATCCCCTCTTCCAGTCAGTACAATACAGTAACATGGCTGTAAACATACCTTTTGGGCCTGGTGGACCTGGAAGTCCAATGCCAGGAATACCCGGGTCTCCCTTTGCACCTGGGATGCCTGGTAAGCCACGCTGACCTGGCTGACCAGGATCTCCTGTAAAAAGAAAATCAACATAGTTACCAAGAATCAGTCAGAATAAAATGGTCTTGAAATTCCCTGGGTATCTTAGTTGCTGCTTTACCTGGAAGACCTGGGTCACCGCTTCTTCCTGGAGGACCAGGGGGACCAGGAACTCCTGGTTCTGTAATAGTCTGGCCAGGGTCACCTTTTGGACCTAAAATCAAAAAGAATAAATACATATCACTCAGTAGGAGTTTCTTTGTTTTTCTTTGAACAGAAAAATATGCCAGCCATATCCCAAGGTTACGAAGAACTTAAACACCAGCAACACTTTACCCAATAGGCTATCCACCCCTGAGCCCCATACAGCACTTAGAGGCTTTGAAGCATGGTTTAGTGTTAAGACAGTTTTTTTGAAATGATTTTTTTTTTTAGCTTCCTCCTAGGGTACTATCATGTGAATAGTATTTTCCACAGCTGACACAAGCACAGCTTGATCAGGATCTGTGTGTAGCTGACAAGAAAGTAACAAAAGCAAACTTCTTCAAAGCAAACCCTTGTTTTCAAAAACTGTTGTAGTTACAATATTATTAAGCACAGGCCAGACGGTAGTTACAATGCATTCCCACTATAGTCAGTTGAGAAGGAGAAGCTTCTCTAGAGGCCAGAGTAGCAGGGAGAGTCATGTGTCTATAGTAACACAGCACAAATTCTTCCCACTTCGCGATTCTGTGATGACCTTCAGTATCTTATGACACCTTTGAGAAAAGCTTAAAAGAAAAATTTTATTCTGAGAACTATCTGGAGCAAAAGGGAAAAACTTGATTTTACAGCTTTTGTTCAATAGCACACAGAGCCCAACTCACCAGGAACTCCAGGAGGCCCTGGACGGCCTGATACACCTTGGATGCCCTTTTCACCAGGTGAACCTTGTGGACCAAAACCAGGAGGTCCAGGAAGTCCTTTGTCTCCAGGAGGACCTGGTATTCCTGGATCACCTGGAATACCCATTTCTCCTTTGAATGCAACACTGCCCTGAAAAAAGGAAGAGCAGGATGGAAAAGAGGAACATGTATTTACTAGCAAAGGAGTAAAGTGTTCCATTGCTTCTATTTTGAAATTCTTTGGCAAATGCATCCAGGACTTCCCAAAACATCTGTCCAATCAAAGACAGCATAAAATGGAACTCACAGGTTCCCCCTTAGGGCCAGGTAGACCTGGCAGTCCATCTCGTCCAGGAGTGCCATCTAAGCCAGGAAGACCTGGAGGTCCTGGGAAGCCAGGTTCTCCTTTGTCACCTTTCATTCTTGGAGAAGTCAGGACATCCCCTGGGTCTCCTTTAGGACCAGGTCTCCCAGGAGCGCCTGGGGGCCCCGGAAATCCCTGAAGGGGAAGAAAAAAAAATAATTTTATTTTTTCTTTCACTTTCTTTCTGAGTTTGGCATAATATAAGAATTATGCATTCAAGCTAGTTATGGACAAAAAAAAGAAGTATTAGACAAGAATTCATATCTATTGTGCACAGATCTACCAAACACGCAAGACAAATGAGACACTGTTTTTCCAGCAGAACATAACACCACCACTTACTGGTGGCCCTACAAGGCCAGTTAATCCAGGAAGCCCCTTTTCACCTTTTGGTCCAGGAAAACCAGGAGAACCTGAGTAGTGCAGAAAAACAAAAGAAAACCACAAAACTGTAGAAGCTGTAAATATCAAGCATACTGTTTGCATAAGATAATAGTGAAGTTGTTTTAAAACCAGGCAAGGTTTAGTCTGGTTTTTTTTGAAAAGCTTGTTTTTATTTAAGCAGAACAAGATTTGCATCTCTAGGTTAAATTACTAGTGTCAAAAAATATCACACTTTAAAAGCTCCAGCTGCTTTATCATTTCAGGAATAGCAAGTAGTAGAAGTTAATTTCTCTCTTTCAGCTAAATCTATAGCAGACCATAAACCTTCAATACAAAGAAGGCTTGCAAGTCTGTCTTTGACCAGAGAATTTTTTTTTTTTAAAGACTAGATTTTCAAAAAACGAGTGACCATTTTACACATATCCAGCCTGTTTCTTCCTAACACTTCCCAACTGTGCAAAATAGGACATGCACCAACTATACACTGGAGTTGGCAACCCTGCATCTGAATTTGTACACAATACACAGATACATCATTAGCATTATACACAGATACTCAGATCCCAAAGTGACTTTATAGAATACATTAAACAAAATAGTGAAGACTTACCTGGACTACCCGGAGGTCCTGGTGGTCCTCTCTCACCAGGAGGCCCAGTTATTCCAGTTCCTATGCAATTGAAGCATGTGTCTCCTTGATCACCTAAAAAGATTTTTGAAAAAAGCATACTTGAACATCAGATCTTAGAAAACACTAAAAGAATTCAGCACAACAGCAATTGTTTTCTTGCTACTGATCTATAATACTAAGTCCAAAATGACTACTTTATGTAACAATACAATTGCTTAAATATTAGCAGCCTTCCCCAATGAAAGCCAAACTGAAACTTTTTGGTCGCTGGGAGTCAGACAGCCAGTTCCAGATATGATCAGAATTTATTTAGGACAGTGCAAAATAAATTAAAACAAAAAAATGCTTTAAATAATAAAAAGTAAAACTGTGGACTTTTCTTCTTAGCAAAAGAGTCCTCTTCTAAAGTAGGTACTTGACACTTCAAACTACAACTCTAAAACACATATCAAAATCCCAAACTTTAATTAAACTCCAAGAGTGCAAAATAAATATTGGCAATGTTTCATTGACTTGATAATAGGCTAAACTTCTTTCATTTAAAAAAAAAATTGTTTCAAGAAGCTTAGGAATTTCCTTCACATATAGACTTTTCTGACATTAGTCAATGTAGTATTTAACCACTTAATTTAGGGTAAATTAATTAACCTTTACAATCTCCATGAGAAAAACTACTTCTGTTTGAAAGGAGTACAAAATTAAGTGAGATGTTCAAAGTCATCTAGGATGTCCATGGTTGAGCTAGGAAAAGATTCTCACTTACCCGTATCAGCATCCTCATTGCAAGGTTGTCTTTTTGGAAACAAGGATACACATTAAAGATTTCTTTCTTTTGCTTACCAAACAAACAAACTCATTGTAGATTGACCAACTCAAATCAGCAATCTTGCAATTATAATTTCAATGTTGCTTTCCATAAAAAATGTCAAATTTATTTATGAAGCAAGTATAAAACTTTTTGACGTAGAGTTGGCAACTGTTGTTACAAAGCACTTAGTTTCTGTCTGCCTGGGAGGTACTCATAAACCTGAGGTTCCATTTTATTTTAATCATGATCCATGCTAGGCCCTAGCATTGGTTGTATCCTCAGTCACTTTGAGATTCCTGTGCTTTAACACTAAATGAGGGACTATCCTACGCCCCCAAAAAACAACTTTTTAACTTAGAAACAGAAAACATCTGCACTCAATCTCACCAGGAAGAAACACTGTTTATCTTTATTTAATGCAGGCTTTTCACTGTTTAACAAGCTTTACCAAAAAGAGAAAAAGCAAGATAGCCATGACACTGCACCTTTTTGGCCTCGCTCCCCTGTAAAGCCTTGTTGTCCCGGAATTCCTGGAGGACCTGGCGGCCCCTGCTCACATAACCCTTCACCTAAGGAGAATCAGGAGAGGTTTAATGATCAATTTGTGTTAGACTGACAGCTGCACTGAATACATGTATCAGTACAAAAATGTACTTCCTAGTATTTGTGTGGATATTCTGATATACCCACACAATCACAGACCAAACATTTTGGCAGTTCAGACAGAGAAATACTAATGAAAACCCACCAATGTAATCCAAACTCAAAAGGAAACAATCGGTGATACTGCACAACAATCATCAGCTCTCTTTCACAACCTCAGCTACCTCCCACTACTTCCCACAGCCTACACACTTCCATCTCTACACTACATTCTGCTATTCAGCCTCATATCATAAAAGTGTGTGCATGAAATATTGTCAGAGTGAGGGGACTTAAGATGCCAATGCCATCTAGACACTAAATTCTTCCCTGAACTGTGTTAGCCTCTCTCCACTACAGCTTTCCTGTTCTCATATTCCATCTCCCATTCCCTACCTCCTTTACACCAAAAAGGAGCTAAGAGTCTTTATCCAAAGTGTCTGCTCCCAAGCTAATTTCATGTGGCCTGCACACTAGAATAGTTATAAAATTAAACTGGAATTATGTGAAAAATTACTCTTTTGACTGTCCTTATACCCCACCTCTTAGTAGAAAGTATTCCCTCCAAGCATCTATTAGATCATATCACGAAAGCTAAGTTTATGTAAGACAGTATCAAAGTGCTTTATGCACAAATTTTAATGTAACTTCCATTAGTTGGATTAAATAGAATGTAACATAAACTGGGAAAATACTTAATTTTGTACAGCTGGGACAAATATGCTTGGCCCTGGAGGACTGTCATTATTGTGTGAATTAGCACAAATGTCCCTCAAGTCTGACAAGATTTCTTCTCCTCCAGTCTACCTGAATCTCACAGATAAGTCACAGCCACACTTGAGGTAGAAAGAGGCATGATGAAACCAGACTGCAGCTCACTCCATTGAATACCCAAACTCTTTAATTGTCCTTAAGGCTAGAGTTTTCCTACAAATATCCTGATTTGCAATGGGAGCATCTTGGAGAATGTATACAAATAGCTTGGAACTTCATGGGCTTCAGCTGCTGACAAACTACATCTTTGGATGTAGAATTAAAAAAAAAAAAAAAAGAAAAAAGGAAAAAAGAAAAAGAAAGAAAGAAAGAAAGAATGAATGTCAAAGCTGTTCAGTCTCTTCTACTTGCTGTCTATGTGGTCATCACTTACCAGGAGGAATAGATGGTGCAGGTGGCCCTGGGGGACCTGGTGGTCCTGGAGGTCCTCGTGGTCCATCAGGTCCTGGTTGCCCAGGAATAGAAACACCAGGTAAACCTGGATCTCCCTTTTGTCCTCTCTCACCAGGTAAGCCAGGTGGGCCAGGAGGTCCAACAGTAGTGATCCCTAAGATGGGAAAAAATTAGTTCTTTGACATCTCAAAGGTTTAAATCACTTTTCTGCAAGGATGACAATGATATAAACCAAATAACATGCTACAGGTAAGACGGTGTCTTTCCATGGAAGTACTTTGTAACATTTCTTTTATGGAATCAAACTACACATTGATGTGCAACGTTAGACATATGCACATTTTGCATTTTCAGAGATTTTTGTTGGAAAAAATTGACCTGAGACTCAACAACTAAAGTTTATGAAGTAAAAAAAAATAAAATAGGACTAATGAAAGGAAGTACTGATGGAAAAAAGAACATTTACAAGCTGTAACATTAGAATCATAACATTCTTCTCTGTGCATATATAAGGCAAATACAGATGTCACTGCTCACTCCCACTGTAGACTCAGATCATCTCCTCATTTAGTATTGGCCAATGTACAGCAGAGACCAGCTCTGAAGGCCAGGTACCAGTCTTCTGGTACACGATACGTTCTCTGTATAAGACGACGGATAATGTATGTCATAGGTAGGCAATATGAGATAAATTACCCCTAAAACAGTTAAGCTAGTATCTGTCTGACAGCCTGGACGATTAGCATCCTCTGTTCACCACAGAAGGGGCAATGAATGTTCAGAATTCCTCATATTATCCCCCTAAGCTAAGGACCACTCTTCAAGCTCAAAGGTAGCTCTAAATACTTCTACCTTCACTTTCTGCTCAGTCTATCTGTCAAAAGGTGTGTGAAAAGACTGAGAAGCTAAATATCCATTCAGACAATTGAGCATATGACTTATTTTAATGCTTGCATTCTTACCTGGAGAACCTGGCAAGCCAGGAGGGCCTGGTCTGCCAGAGAATCCACGCTCCCCTTTGGCTCCTGGAAGTCCTGGCAATCCTTTGCTACCTTTTGGTCCCACTGCTGCATCAATGCCTGGTCTTGAAATGACCTGCAAATGTTTCATGTTCATGTGGAACAACTTGCCAAGAAAAGCATAATTGGAACAGTAAAGAGATGTGAGGTAGGAAAAGTTCAACATACTTTGAACCTTACACCAACGACAAAATGCTTTTCCTGCTCCACTGCATTACCAGGTAAAATTCCAGCAAAGAGCAGTCCCCAACAGCAAGCACTTTTACTGCAAGCCAGCATGGTTAGAACAAGGTTCAGTGAAGCTGACTCAATTCCTTCTGGTCTGAGGTTATAGCCTAGCCTTATGTTTGTAACCTAGCAAATCCTAGAGCACAGAATCTAAACCTGAAAGAGGGAAACAATCATTTCTATTACTGAATAGATGAAAACTTTACTGGTTCTGTTATTATCTGGAGATGGGACTCTCAGTCACCCAAGAACTATGATGAGACAACATCGTCAAACAAATGCAGAAAGAAATTAAAGGATCAGCAACTTACAATTCCAGGAGGACCAGGGGGACCAATGTCACCTTTTTCACCCTATCAACAAAATTAAGAGCATTTTTTATACTGTGCATTACTACACAAGAAAGCTAGTGCAAGTATTCCTCAACACTGTAACAACATAGGCATTGCAATTACTACTCAGCCAGAACTGAACTCAGTGATGGCAGATTTTCAAGCTGCTGTAGCAATAATGACAAAAAGCCTGGCATACCTTTTCACCGTCCCTTCCTGGAACACCATTCATTCCAGGTCCACCGGGTAAACCCTTCAAGAAAAGAGAAGGATAATCACACTCAGATCTTCTCCATATCAGAAGAAAAGCTTATAAGGATTCTGCTTAGATTAGAAATGTATGAGGTACTCACATCCCTACCAGGCTGGCCAGGTTCTCCATCTTTGCCAGGCTTTCCCTTCAAAGACATAAACATGCATTGAAATAAAATGCTTCAGTAGTGAAGAACTCTTATGGAAATAGTTGTACTTATTTCCCATTTTTCATTAAACCAATCCTTCTCTAGAATGTAATCCTTGTGATAAATACCTCAAAGATACCAACCAAGTACAATCAATGGAGTTACCTAAACCGAGGTTTTAATTTTGAAAATCAGAGCACAAAAACATGACAAGTCTCAATGAAATGTTGTGTAAATACAGGACAAAATGACCTCCAGTTAACTATTGCTGATTCATTGTGTTTAATAACTCCCTTTATTTTAACACTAGAGAAATCCTTTATTTGGAAAACTGATTCTAACTGTCTAAGCAGTAGAATATTATATTTAATTAGGAAATTAATATAATGTGACGAGTGAAATTAAATGCAAACATTTTTGTGTTTGAATTTTAACTCCCCTTTAAATCAAATGCAATTTTCTGAAGAATGGTATCAACAAAAATACAAAGTGCAATTCTTCTCAAAAAAGTGACTTCTAAAAACCATTTAACCTTGCTGAATAGATTCGCCACTGCTACAATAAAAGTAACGCAAGCCATGCTTTAGTCCAGACCATTCACTGGGCAAGACAAATAGAACTCCATTGTTAGCATTACAGAAGCAGTATGTATGTGGGACATCTACTGGAACATAATTAGAATAGGTGGTTAAGTTTCAGCACAGTGACAACATCAACTCTCAATCACCGAGAAGTTGATAAGACTTGACAGATACAGTGTATTAGAGTACAATGTGATTCGTCAAGTCTTGATAATGAGCGATGAGTTCTGATTCTCAAAAATGAGGTTTTAAGATTTCCTGTGAATTTGCAGAACTACCTGTTTGATTACATACACTGACATTTTTATGAGTATATCTGAAATGGGTTTGAGCCACACAGAATCATATGGAGCCCTAAAAGGCAGCTTTAGAGTAACTTAATAGCAAAACTGAACTTTAAGTATGCCATATGCCCAAATTCAGAGAAATAAAAACAAACAAAACTATTGGTAAACAAGCTTTTGGCAAAAGACATCTGCCATAATCCCTCAGGACTTTTATACTTTCAGATCTTTGCAAATTTATGTGGTTCCCATTTCTCTTTTGCAGAGAGAAGCAACTTGGAAAATACAATTCAAAACCCACTCTAAAGTAATGAGAATTTTGGTTTTGTAAATCTGCCTCATTTGTTATGCTCCTCGAAGAAGGCAAATCAAAGCCCTCCTATAAATCTCAGCAACTAAGAAGGATTCTATCTAGAATACCAAACATTTGTTTCCATTGTATTTATTTCCTACGGAAATTGGAAAACCTATTACCAACATGTTTCTAAACAGTGTTTACATATTGTCCAATTACCCTGAGCAAGATTTGTGTCCTGGCTTTCAAAGGGGCCCATTATGTTGATGAACCTATGGGTTTAGTAGCTACGAAAGTGAAAATATGGAATGCTTTGAGCTGGAAGTAGCTTGTCTTTTCTTTGTCAGTCCAGACCATGTTATTTTCATCCTATTTCTTAGCACATCTATGATCTTCCTCAGCTTTTCTGAGCTGTGATATTCAAGTAAATTTAAATTCCAGAATGAATTTGAGTCTATAAAGGAACAAACTGACTCATGCTATCCCCAGATGCAGCTGTCCTGACCCGTCTCCTTTCCAGATAGTACATAAACTGAAGTAGTCTCTTGGGAAGTGACAGACTTTTGGTCTTAGTGCAGTGTTCAGAGGCTTGCTTTTGACTCATGTCACAAGTAAGCCCACTGAGAATGAGTTTACATAGACCAACTCAAATATATACCCAATGTCATGCTGCTTGGCAACCCAGTACACAGCAAACTGAATGGAGACCCTCTCTAAAAAGAAACAGAAAACTGCTGCTTCAGTCAAGCAGTCCAACAACTCTGAAGAAGGTTTCCACATGTAACCAGATAACATTATTCAAATTAGTTTCTCCTGACCCCAAAACTAAGATCTACACGTAGATAATTCTATCAGAAAGCACCAGGAGATCCATAGCTAGAAGCGCTTTCATGAACCAGATGCGTCACCTATGAGTTTGCCAGGTTATGGGAGGGGGGAAAAAAAAAAAGAAAAAAAAAAAGAAGAAGTCGCTTACCCAGAGGCTGATGGCCCCACCTGAATTCAACATTTGCTTAATTCTCAAAGATAACACTGATTGGAAAGATAAATGTGTGGTTAAACAGACTACTTACTCTTTTGCCTGGTTCTCCTTGCTCACCTTTTTCACCTTTTACGCCACCGGGAAGACCCTGGACACACAAACGTCATCTTAAACTGAGCCCACAAGCCAGAGTAGAATGAATTTACAACTCTGATACAGATGCAACAAAAAAGAACTAAAGAGAACTACTCACAGGAGGGCCTTGTGGCCCAGGAAGTCCTGGTGGACCTGGATCACCTGGAATACCCTGTCAAGCATGGGCAAAGAAAAAGAACATTGAAGTCTCCATCACTCCCTTGTAGCTCAGTTGATTTTTTTAAAAATAGAATCTTTTTTTTGGCTGTGATTTAGATTTCTAAGTACTATGAACAGTAAAGAATAATATATATTATTTCTTTGTGTGGAACTTCAACTACATCCATAAATTTTATTAACTGCTCATCCTGTTTATTTAGATGATTCACTCCACTAAGACACAACTGCTTCCTGCGTGCACTGCAGTAGCTGGTTTGGTGGACTGCAGCTGCTATACAATAACAAAAAGATGGAAGAAAAAAAGGAAAGAAAGAATAAATGCCAG